ACATTATTTGTATCTTTATAATCTTTTTAACAGTTAGTGTTATTATCATTTCTCATGGTATCATCTACAGATTATCAAATGGCGATTAAAATCATTCCAACATTACAAAAATCGGAGCTAATTTAAAAATTTAACATGCAGATTTGTTAAAGTGGTACTTCGTTATACATTTTTCAATTTATTAAGTGTTGATCATTTATGGCCCTGAAAATAAAACTAATTGCAAGATTATTCATTAAATATGTATGTCAACATACTCGCATACAATAATACTAAAATAAAATACAGTTATTTAAATGATATGATTCATACAGAATATTTTTTAAATTTTCAAAGTAGAAAAAAATATTTTAAAAAAAGTGTAGTGTCCGTAACCAGCTTATTATCCTCCAAGAAAGAATAGCTACAGTAAACAATAAGCTACTTTTCTTTATAGATTTGACACTTAACACTAACATAATAACAAAATTTAGCACCTTCTTATTAGAATTTAGTCAGAATAAATGAAAATATGGTTACGGACACTACAAAAATGATGTAGTGTCCGTAACCATGATATTATAAATATTTTTATTTCATCAAAACAGGCTTAATTTCTAGGTTCTATGATGTCCATTTTGCTGCATCTTAATTGTCTTTTGATTAAAAATTTAAAAAAAATATGAAAACAGATAACTGTTAAAAATATTTGAGCTGATAGTAATCCTTCATGTACTAATTTGAAACCAGAAAATATTATTGTAAAACACCCATTTTGGTATCAATTTGTCATAAACTCAAAATATGAGTTCTTTTGTAATGTTAGGTCAATTCATAATTATTTTTACGGTTTTTATATCTTCATATCATTTTTGTAGTGTCCGTAATCCAGGGATTTTTTTTATTTCTGAGTAAAAAAAAATTGAATATCTTTTTCATTTTTCAAAATCTCTTGTTTTTCTTCCTTCAATTGATTTATACCATGTATACTAGCATGTATATTTGTTAAAGATCTGTACTTGACATTAGTATATGACATTTTATAAAATACACTAAAAATTTAATTTAATGAATTCAATAAAATTGAGAATGGAAATGGGGAATGTGTCAAAGAGACAACAACCCGGCCACAGAACAGACAACAGCAGAAGGTAACCAACAGGTCTTCAATGCAGCGAGAACTTCCAGCACCCGGAGGCGTCCTTCAGCTGGCCCCTAAACAAATTTATATACTAGTTCAGTGATAATGAACGCCATACTAAACTCCAAATTTATGATGTCAGAAGATGTAACCAAAGAAAATAAACAAAATGACAATAATACATAAATAACAACAGACTACTAGCAGTTAACTGACATGCCAGTACAAACTCAAGTATATTTGAAGGTAAATTTTGCTTTTTTTTGTTTTATCTACAATTCTTGTAGTGTCTTATGATAGAAAAAACATTTATTTCAAGAAGTCGTGTGGACATGGCTACCCTTAAATCCACAAAAAGTGTATTACTTTTAGAAAATAGTTGGAAAAAGTAGCCAGTGTGTAGTGTCCGTAACCATCAACATTTCTTTTTTTTTTCTAATTAACAAATGTAATTCTAAGGATTTCTATTTCAGAAATATATTTTTTTATCATGCTTTAAGTGCATAGCACCTACTTTGTAATATGCCTATGGTTTTACTTCAGATTTGAAATGATAAACTTGGTCCCATCCATGTCAACATGTGATGTACATGTATGTTTACATGTAAATAACTTTAATTACATATATTGATTCACAATCATAGGTCATTATGTTGTTAAAAAATGTAAACAATGAAAAGAAAATACATAAACTGAGTATGTTACCCATGAAAAGTTATTCATATTGATAAAATTATAAACATAAGGTTTTACACTAGTAATTTTTTGGGGCCCTTTATAGCTTGCTGTTCGGTGTGAGCCAATGCTCCGTGTTGAAGGCCGTACCTTGACCTATAATGGTTTACTTTTATAAATTGTAACTTGGATGGAGAGTTGTCTCATTGGCACTCATACCACATCTTCTTATATCTATAAGATCAATGTAGTGTCCGTAACTCAAATAACTTACTGAGTTTATTTTAGGTACTATTTATGTAAGGAATACATTTTCTGCTGTGATTTATATTCCCATGAATAGAAGGTCAACTCTTAATGATTTTGATGGGCTACATGTATATAGTCTTTCATTTTAAGAGAGGTGGTGTTCTTACAATGATCCTTTTTTATGTGTTAAGAAAGGGGGTATAATTTTGCAGAATTCTTAAGTTAAACTTTATTCCTGTGATTTGTTTTGTTTGGTATTTTGTTGATAAATTGCATTGAAATTATAATTATGCAAAAAGACTTGGGATAGTTCATAAAAGACACACATTTCTAGAGGTTAATTGTACAAGTAGTGTTCGTAACCAGCACTTTCCTAACCCCATACAAAATAAAAAATAAAACACTTATCATTGTTTTTTTTCCACTAGCCAAATGAGTTTTACAAATTTCAAGCATTACTTATTCAAGATAACAAATTTTTTTTTCTATTATGTTGACCTTTATTTTTGACCTGAAGTGCAAACTTACTGTTCCTTTTATTGTGTTTTACCCGTATATATAATCTTTGTTTATCCGTGAAAAAAAGAAGAAAAAATAACAGACAATTTCGCATAATTTTTTAACGTATTTGTTAAAGGATGGCCAATTTAGCTATTATTTTCTTTAATAATAAGACACATGCTTAAAAGATAGAAATACATATATTTCTGACTCCAATGGCAAGTAAGAAACAGAAAATAGAAAATTTTCCAAATTGCCGCCGAGTTATTTTGTCCGCGAAATTAACGCAATTTCAGAATGGCGGGTTTTAATCTCAGTCCCATTGTTGTCTTGAGAAAGTAGCAACAACGGTCGTTTCTAAGGGCTTGCTTTCCGACTGTTCGTTCCAGTTATTATGTATAATCCCTGACATTTTTTCTAGTGATTATGCATAATTCCTGAAATTTTAGTGATTATACATGTATATAATCACTAAAGTTACCAGTGATTAAAGTTATTTAACATAATCCCTGCAAATTTCAGGGATTACATGTATACATGTACATAATCCCTTATTTTATACATTTACTGTAAAATATATTTATTTCTTGTTGTTTTTAATCTGTTGACGTGCCATGTAGGAATAGCAGAAGACGATTATCTAGTTCCATCATCTGGTCTCACTCCATGTGATTTCATGCGATTCCGTTTCTTTTCACTTTCGTGTTTGTGTTCGACATTCATTCCTGGAATTAGGAGATAATTGAAAATAGTTATCTACCAATATATCGGCAGGCATTTTCTACATCTGTGTAAATCCCAGATGGTTTTGTGGTAGCGTGCTCCACTTGAGTGCAGGAGAGGTGGGTTTTAACACCAGCCAGATTCAAATTCAGATCGCATTAATAGCTATGTTATCTTGATATGCATTTGATATTTAAACTTAACCACGAATCAATCTGCATCATCACCTTAACGTAGGCATTTGTTAATTAAAAATGTTGTTGCAATTTATAAAATGGCTTTATCATCGGTGTTTTGTAAACTGTACAAATTTAGGGTAAATATCGAAATACATTGTACATGTAGATTGTTATTGAAACATAAGAAAATGCCTTGATGCGTTAACACTTTAATATGACTCATTCAAACAGCAGTTTTGTAGCCTTGAACTCAACATGGCCCACAGTATAGAATTTAGATTGTTTTGTGATTGTTTGCGAATTTTGCAAATAGATATAAATATTATCGACAGCTGCATGTAAAATTATGCTACTCTAGAGAATGAATGCTGTTGTTGATGTGTGAAATGTAAGTTTAGAGGACTGAAGAAAATACTGTTCAATACAAGTTTACACCTACAGACTATATGCATTGGCATATATCAACTATTATAATATAAACATTTTTAATAAGACAACAAAATATTGTCTAGACAATTAAAAATAGAACAAGTACATGTTTAAGTATTTAAATAATTAATTTGAATAATCATACTGTATCTAGACTGAGTATAACATAAAATCAATTATAATTTTTCAAGATTCAAGCTTCGACTTGATTAAAGCAAAATTGAAGGAGGCGGTCAAAATGCGTAATCTTACAACAGAAACCTTTCCACTTGCAGAATGCCAAACATAAAACACTGAAAATTAATAAACCGCAGCCAAAATCATATTTATTTTTGTAACACCTACGAACATCCATTGTCGACAAACTTAGACAATAAACTTTAATTATATTCTAATGCAATTCGTTTAAAACAATGATTTTCATTGGACGTTGACAAATATTTTGAAGGATTAGATTCCACGTTCTACCAGTCCGTAACTAAGGAAAGCCACCATTTTGAATTCCGATCTTTTGGAATGTATTTTTTTCTAAAAATAAATTAAAAAAATCACATTTTTGCCATAAAATCGTCTTTTTGACAATATTTAAACCATTCAGAAGCGTACGAAAAGTAGAAATATGTCTAGTGTTCATGTTTGACATCGGGAGTATACCTATGACGTCACATTGTTTCGATGTCAAATACGATGTAAACTGGTTCTCTATTGCTATATTCCGCTAGGTAAACTCAATTTTCGACAGTAAAATCAACGTTTTACCAAGGCCAATACAATACAGTTATCTCCTAATTAACATGATTCTGTTTACTATATATTTACCGTAAACGATACCACTGACATTAGCAGTTGAAGTATAGATTAATATGACCGGCGTCAGAAAAAACTATTCATTTTCTGATATTTTTCATAGCAAACAAATAAGCTTTTTAAAATCTGATGCATTTGAATGGTGACATGTGCTAGTAATAGATATATAGATATATTATGCTTGCATGCTTTTCCTATTTTTGGAATTAAAAGAATAACTTTAAAATTGTTAAAATACCAACTGATATATGTCTAGATGATCAGTCGGGTAATAAAAAATTTTAACACACAACATGTTATATATAGAAATAACTTACTTTTCTTTCCGTTGTATCATACGTGCTCCATTTATAGGACAAATATCATAGGGCTTACATCGTAATCTATGATACAAGAAAATTGTCCAATCTAATGATGCATGAATATATTATAAAATAATTGTCTTTGTAGTTTTAAATTTACTTCCATTGACATAGTTTAGTCGGAATATTAAGTACAGATGGCACGTTATAACGAACCCACTTCATGTAGCTTATAAGAAAAAGAAGATACCAACGTGCTCGTCTAAATATATATAAGTAGAAGAAAGATAAACAACATAATGGCTAAAACAATTGACAAACATTCATGTAATTACGGTACACAGAACAACTAACGATTCAGCAACACGAACTCACTTTAAAACCAGGAGTGAAATCAGCTGCTCCAACAGTGTATGCATAAAATGATCAAACATTCAAAGTTAATCTCGATGATATGTCGCATTAGGTAATGTCAAGGATGAGGAGAAGAGGATGAACGGGATTATTGCTATGACCAGCTGAACATATATATGGTTATCATGCAAGCACGGTCAACCAATTCATGATAACGTCCGTAAAAGTTTTGAAACTTTCTTTCATCAAATTCTTTTTAAGCAACAGCCCTCTATCAAGGAAATTATGCATGATAAGAAACTCAAGTCTCGGGAAAAGATCATCAATTCTTGGATGTATTCTTCAAATTCAGGCGCCTCTGGAATATTGATACAAAGAGTGTACCAAAAATAATAAAACTATCTTTTTCGCTATCAATTTTAATTATAAACCGCCCACCACTATCAATATCTAGGTGTAGGTCAACATAAAAAAAAGATTGCTTTTTTTTACTATCAAGTTCAATGGGCTATATGTGATCAAATATTCAACATGGAAATACGAAATGTCTGGATGGAAGTTAGAAATGACATGTTGAGAGAGGGAAATATGAAGTTGGAAGTGAAAAATATCAAGCTGGAAGAAAAAAATGTCGACTTAAAAACAAACTGACAAATGTCTACTTGGAACTAAGACATGTGAACTTTAAACTGAGTAATGCCAGCTTTGAACTAAGAACTGTCAATTTGGAACCGAGATAATACAACTTGGAAGTCAGAAATGTCAAGTCTGAAATAAGATATGTCAATTGCTAGTCAGAAATTTAAAAAAAAATAAAAGAAAGCCGCCATCGGTATTTCGATAGAACGGACATCAATTTATTGACACGAAAAGATTGATAAATGATAAACAGCCATATTGACCTTTCGGTCGGCCATGTTAATCTGACATCAATATATGCATTGAATACATAAAAACTGTTATTTGTATGATCGTAAACACTTTGTTTAATGCACGAAAATCGGCATGTATACAAGCAGAATACCTTAATGTAATAGTCTTCAAAGGTAAAGTTGGGTACGACATATCGCTGTAAAAAGGAAATAAGAATAAAGAACACAATGCACATAGAACTTATACAACAAGTATGATAAAAGTAGTTATGTAGATGAATAGTAAAGTAATCATTGATAACACTAGCAAATGAAACAAATTTTGATGTTTTTGTTCTCATTAAGGGGTATTAAACTATACGCTCTAATGTCAGAAAATTGTTTGAAGATATTTAATATGGTATGGTTTAACTAAAATAAATAACACTCCGCAATAATCGCTATAATTGCTTAAGCAAACTGTGGTCGTTGTAATACGCACATCAATTCTAAATGTTCTTTTTGCATCTAAATTATTAACAAGTGACGAAGAAATAATATATAAAGGATGCAAAATGATATGTGATAAAGATCAATTATGACATAGAAAAATCGAAATCACTAATTTGGATTTTTGCTGTTCGATACTTTGTTACTTTTGATCCCAAAGACAAAATAAGAGAAACCTTATGACACGGCCAATGCATTAAACAATAAAGAACCTGCGACCAAGTTAATTGACAGAACATTCTACATTTCTAGTTACACATGTTTGGCTAAAGAAATAGACACCTGAAAGATCAAAACGCGTATAAAAAAATGGGACAGCATGTATACACTAATGTTATTTTTTGGTCGTATGAATAGGAGTAAAAGCACATCAACTAAGTGAAAATAGTAGAAATTAGAAGAAATTAAAAAATAAGACAAAACTCATCTAAAAATAGGGGAAACAGAAAAAAAGGTCCATGCCCAAAAAGCCTGTGCTTTCACTTAGGGATGAAAAGATCGACAGGATAAGGGCCATTCATATTGACTCAAGCGAAAGCAAGATAACAGATATACTACGATTTAGACAATTGTCAAAGATAAAGGATTTCATTAAGTAACTTAAACGGATTTTGGTTCGGAGAACAAACTGTGTACCTGCGAAGGAAACTAATAGAATTTATTCGAAAAATAACCAAACAAGTATATACTCATATGGTTCTTAACATAAACACATTTCATGCTGTTTAAATGTAAGCGTATGGTATATTCAACGCAAAATATATGTTTATGGAATAATCTTCTTAATAAACTATGATCAAAAGAAGGCACAACAGTCAGAGGTTAACTCTGTGCGAGGAAGAGCTTGCCAACCTTATCTTAAATATTCGACATATAAAATATCAAAGAGTTAATAATAAACTTTCAGTCCTTTTTAAACGTTTATCAAGAGGTCAACACAATTCTTTTTACAATATGATATATATATATATATATATATATCTCAGTAGCATGAGTTCGAATCCCGGCGAGGGAAGAACAAAAAATTTGCGAAAGCAAATTTACAGATCTAACATTGTTATGCTGATGTTTAGACGAGTTGTATATACATAATGTACACAGCCATGTATCACCATCACTGCAGGTGATCCGATGGATAAATCTGTTGTAGAGATGTCACTGGTTCAGACGTACTTAAAAATATAATTATTTCTGTGACTGTATCATGCATTAATTTGTAGGATCCTTTACAACAGATATTTCAGCTGATCTGTAACAATTCCATCTTCATGCCTTATATATCATGTACTGTATTACGACGCTAGATTAAAACTGACGAGGAAAGGTAACACCCGGCCACCGAAAGCTTTATATTGTGAAGCCTATGTGGTTGAGTGGTCTAGCGCGTTGGATACAGTGCAGGCGATTTGGTGTCACGATATCTCAGTAGCATGAGTTCGAATCCCAGCGAGGGAAGAACAAAAAATTTGCGAAAGCAAATTTACAGATCTAACATTGTTGGGCTGATGTTTAGACGAGTTGTATATATCCATTTGTTGATGAAAACTCTAACGAAAAATCACAGCTTCTTTATCATTCTATGTAACATTTTTTCAACAAACTAAATTCAATCGGCGTACATGAAATGCATGTCTATGCTGTTACCGCTACTAGATCAACCGTTGAATTTTTTCTCCCTATGAATATAGAACTATTCAGTGATGATTTCAAAAGCACAAAAGCATCATAAAAATTTGACACAGCACGTTTCTTGCATAGCAGTGTAGAGAAAAGAAAATTCAATGACAAAAATTAGTGGGTACCTTTTTATTATGTCTAGTATGCTATTATCAATAAATTTATTAATTACAACAATATTAGACTTGTAAAAAGTGCAATTACGTGTTCGAAACCAAACTCACAGCAGAAAAACATAATCACTGCATCAAGGGGACTAGTTATTTCACAACAGCATTCATAAATGAAGAAATTTGTCTATCCTGTTATGTCTATGCTGTTACTATGATTCCAGTAACAGGATAGACAATATTTGACTAAAACGTCTTTAAAAAGTATATAATTACATATTATTTTACACATAACGAAATGTTTGGTTGTTTGAACTCATTTAAAGGTGAAAACGTCTTAATCTTTGCAATTTAGCATATACAAAATGCAATACTGCTATCGGTAACAGGATAGACAATTAAAGCAAAAATCGGACTTAAATATATTTTTATCTTACAAAAACAGATCTAAAACGTGTTTATTATTGATGTTCTGACTAATAAATCCTACAAACTTGGTATTAAACACGTACAACTGCATTTTCCATTAAAAATAAAAACTCTAGCATAAGTGCGCTGAAAATTCTAAATTTTTTGAAAATGACCCATACATGTACATGTTACAAGATATGACACATTAAAAAAGTGAATGTAAAAATTTTATAGCTAGTATATAATTCAATTATATTTAATGAACAGACAAATGATAAATTCATTTATTTAATACCAGAAATCGTTTTGTTATCATTGTCAACATATTAAGTATGTATCACAGTGACTTTTATACTTTAAAAATGTAAACTTATCCATGAATTTCTAAATGTTCCATTTTAGATTTAAACTCTTATTACATGTACTAAATGAATATAAATATAGCTTGTGTAGTTTTTATCTACCATTTTTAGCTCACCTGGCCCGAAGGGCCAAGTGATCTTTTCTCATCATTTGGCGTCTGTCGTTCGTTGTCGTCGTCCGTCGTCGTCGTCGTCGTTAACTTTTACAAAAATCTTCTCCTCTGAAACTACTAGGCTAAATTTAACCAAACGTGACCACAATTATCTTTTTGGTATCTAGTTTAAAAATGTGTCCGATGACCCCGCCTGCCAACCAAGATGGCCGACATGGCTAAAAATAGAACATAGGGGTAAATGCAAGTTTTGTCTATTATTTTGAAAAACCTTTATAAAAAAGAAAATCTGACAGAAGCAGAAATGTTCAGAATGTTGAGCTTTACCAATTGTTTATATACCTCAAAACTGTCAGATGACTTCTTATAGGAGTTATTGCCCTTAAATGACAAATTGTACCTTTTTTTTCATTTTTGCCTATTATCTTGAAAACTATAATAGATAGAGAGAAACTTTAAAATAAAATAAAAAATGACCAGCAAGACAAGTTCTACAAATAAGCCTGGAATTGTCGAAATCGTCAGTCGACTCCTTATAAGAGTTATTGTCCTTTGGTGAATATTTTTAACAATTTTATTTTGCGTTTTTGCCTTATATCTTAAAAAATATAATAGATAGATAGAAACTTAAATAAACAAAAATGATTAGCAAGACAAGATTTACAATTAAGACTATATGGA